TTCTGTTTGGTGACATGAACTATCTCTGTTCAAATGAGAAGTCAGCATTAATGTTTTATTTAAATCTTAATGATTTAAATAAAACATTATAAATAAATTATTTACACTTCGTGTTAAAGCTGACTTAACATGTCATTGATCCATATTTATAACACTGTTGAATTTAAATTTTATAACTTATTTTATTATGTATTCGTTCTTGATGGTGGCTGTATAAATACCCGAAAATATTAGAAAAATAAAAAATAAGAAAAATTTGCTGGAACAGGTTGAAACTGTTTTATTTTTGTATTTCTATTACTAATTTTAGGATATAAGTTTATTTCCTAAAGGCGATCTGACTATTGTAGGAGAAAGAGGAGTGATAATGAGCGGTGGGCAAAAGGCAAGAATTAATCTAGCAAGGTAAGATACGTCTTTCGCTTTAATGTTATATTTTTATTACTGCAGATATAACAATACAGTATGATAACAATATAGGGCTTCACAGAGAGTAGACTAGGTTTTGTAGAAAGAACTATTGAGCAAATCTCAACAAACTTTCGTATTCATACTGTCATGATTATGTAGTTTCGTTTACAAAGAAATTTCAGCCAATAGGGCAAGTTTTGGCATTGTCCCTTTAATACAAATGCGTGGTATATTTTCTAATAAATTTTGGGATTTAATTTAAGAAAAAGACTAGAGTAATGTTATTTTAATTACAGCTATGAAATGTTGAATTGATGATTAAATGGAAGATATGGCTGTATATGCTCTCCCTATGCAGACCATAAACAATGTATTATACAACATACTCGATGGCTAAACACCACTCACATGAAATTCTGTTGTTGAAAGAGGTTGAGAACAAAGCGTAATTAAAGAAGGCTCTTTAGAGAGCCACATAACAAATAGTCACACTAATTCAGATATGATAATCGAGGTAGCCATAATGTTGAAAATCATTAGGTAATCAATTTCTCTTGTGAAAAAGGTTTTTGTAGTAAGGGTTGCACATTTTTGCCTATACGTGAGGTTTCTTTTATCTTGCATATAGATTATGGTCTTCAGACAAATCCTCTGCTGTAGGGCAGGATTAGTAAAGTTTTGAAGCACATTATTACTGGCATATACAAGACATTTTCTTGGTCCAGATTAAGAATACTTTTCATAAAAATAATAAAGATAAATGATAAACGATGAAAACCATATCATATTGTCATTTATGTCAATGCAATTTGTTGGTAAAAGTATGAATTATTACAACAAATACGACAGTGTGAGTATTCATATTATTATAAAAATGAGTCTTATTGCTCCAAAGAATTAGCTAGCATCTCATATCATTAAGCATCATGCAAGCTAGAAATGTCATGGCAGATGTTTTCCACTTATTACTAAACCAGAAATTCTTTTATATGAGAACTATATTTGTTGGATAATACTTATCATTTTTACAGAACTTTCCACACAGTTGTATAGGGATTATTTAATTGTCCTGTTATTGCATGTGCACTATTTTCGCGTTGAAAATTTTCCATTCCGTGTTTCACTTCGGCAATAGCGAGGTCATGAGTGCTTGCATGTGTTTGACATCTCTGTACTGGTTTCTTAGAAATGTTGCAGTCTTATAAAAAATGCAAAACCATTTTCCAAATATTCTCAATATTCGGACTACATCTTTATTGTTTATTTTGCACTTGAATATATTATGCATTAAATTTTTTTTTAGTTTTTTTAACAAACACATAATAAGAAAAACATAAGGCAGCGCTTATAATGGAAGATGTAAACGTGTTATGCCCAGAATTGCGAAGCTGAGATTACTGTTTCATTCATAGAGGAATTTATGAAGAACTGTCAAGACCATTTTGCAACAATTTTATACACGAAATGCATTAGAAAACGTACCTAATATGTACACCAAGGAGTCATCACCGCGAAATATTTTTAATGTCTAAATGTTACAGTAAAAGATTTTTTTCAAAAATCAAAATCTCATTCACATTACAGTATGTATACGAAATTTGGTAAAATTTTTAATAGTTCTATACAGTTAGCTCTAAATACTTATTCTGTAATTATATTCACCCATGTACATTTTCATGAAATTGAAGTAATGCTTATGCGTATTGCTTTTTAAATTTTTTCAGTAAGTATTCACAAAAACATTACTCAAACATCAAAATAGAAACTGCAGTTACTTTTAAATATTTTTTTGTCTCATTGATGTTGTTCCAAATTGTTCCATTTATGTTGTTAATACAAAACATAAATAGCGGCATTTTAATAAACAAGATTCGTTATATGATCTGATTAGCGACTACTATTATATTGAAATGTAAAATGAAAATGTGCACAATTATATTACTTTTTATGTACATTTTTACAAAGTATAAATACATAACAAAGTCTCAGTTACTTCAGATTTCAGGCTATTTTTGTAGGAAATGGGATGAGAAATTCTTTGAGGTTTCTGCAATGCATGATTTTTCTGTTTGTGGAATTTCTGTATTATCGTTTTCCATTCTTGCTAGATAAGCCTCAACAAATCTCATGTATGAGTAATGTTTTTGCTTTTTGGTACTGAGTTAATGTTATGTTTTTATAATTTTAGAGCACTTTATCTAGATGCCGATATATTCCTCCTTGACGATCCACTGAGTGCTGTTGATGTTCCAGTGGCGAAACATATATACGAAAAGTAAATAATTAAATTATATTTTATGTGTATAATTTAACACAGTTAAACACGTTTTTCTTTCAGATGTATATTGGAATATCTGAAAAAGAAAATTTGCATTTTAGTTACGCATCAAATACAATTTTTAAACTCTGAAAGTAAGATTATAGTGTTAAACAAGGTAAGAATATTTATTGTTTATTACTTCAATTTATTAATTAGTTTTTAATTTATTGAAAATATTGATTTTTATTGTAATAATATGTCAATTTGGATATTAACAAGTTAATTAACAGTACCAAAAGAGCCACGGATTGCATTGGATTGGATTGATTACCGAACATAACTCAATCCATTAAAATCCAAATAAAAATTTACCTAAATAAAGTGAAATTTTTCGAAGTGTAGTGCTATGTTTTCTCTGTTCAAATGAGAAGTTTTTCGAACTGTAAATAATTTATTTATGATGTTTTATTTAAATCTTAATGATTTAAATAAAACATTATAAATAAATTATTTACACTTCGTGTTAAAGCTGACTTAACTACTGTATATAAAGTACATACATATATGCAACATATGTTATTTTACCTGCTGATATTAGTAAATAAGTAGATTTATATCTGGTATTAAATCTAGTAAAATATACTTAACATCTACTGATAATTATATCAGACACTGCCATTAGTTAATCATGTGTCCAAAAAAATTCTGATCCATAAAATTCTATTATTATTCTTGAACAAACCTGGAGCATCTGCTGCTTTTGTAAGCTGTCTTATTAAAGGACAATTTTGAATTATTAGGCACCCCATTAATGAACTTTTATAATGTGAAAAACTTAATCGGTTAGGCTATTCCTATAATTGGAAATAATGTATAATATACTGTACACTTTAAATAGAGTATCTTCTGCTGTATTTGGAAAACCACTAATATGGTCACATTATTTTTGAAACCATGTCTCTCAATTAAGAACTTTTATTATACAGGGGTGATTATAATTAAAGTTCCACTTTGAAATGGCCATAAAATGAAAACTACTGGACAAAATGTTATCAAACTTGGTAATAGTGTACAGGACGTCATGGGATTTTATTTCCTTCGAAAAAAATAGTTCAAAAACTCACCACCAACGGAAAAATGGCGCTATCTCCAATATTGTTAAAAGAAATAAAACATTAAAACATCGTTGAAAATGTTTTTAATTGCTTTTAAAACGCTTTACAGACCATGTTCAATGTGGTGTCCACCATTTTCGATAAGCAAGTTACATCGCATTACTGTGTTCTCAACAGTAGCTCTTAGCATATCAGGAGTAACCCCACAAACAGTTTCGTTTTAAAACCGATTAAAAACATTTTCAACGATGTCTTCGTGTCTTATTTCTTTTAACAGTCTTATTTCTTTTAACAATATTGCCGATAGCGCCATTTTTCCGTTGGTGGTGAGTTTTTGAGCTATTCTTTTCATGGGAAATAAAATATAAAATCTCATGACGTCCTGTACACTATTACCAAGTTTGATAACATTCTGTTCAGTAGTTTTCATTTTATGGCCATTTCAAAGTGAAACTTTAATTATAATCTCCCTGTATTATTTTACATTGAATCTAGG